TTGGCTGTTGAGCTAATAATGAACCAAGCACATGGATGATGTGATATCGATGCATGAAGCAACTTTTATACGATTCTGTAGATCCGCCCTTGCTTCCATGAGCTATCTCTACAGGAATCATATCACCCGAAATGCCAACGCTCCCTTCATGAACTTTATCTGTGCAAAGTACGATTCGCATAGGCCGCACGAAGTACTGCTGCTGAAGTAACTATCTATCACAATCTCGCTCTTACTCTAGAAATTACTCACTTCCGAATTTTATCAACGCGAAATTGGTTGCAATGCTTAAGTCTAAATTCCAGAGATTGAGTAGCTAACAATGTTTTCGGTCCCAAATCTTATAGCATAGGTTAGAAATTTGTGTTGCAAGCGAATTTTCATCGATTTGTTTCTTATATATACAATAGTGTTATAACTGTCAGGGTAAAAAATTTACATAGTATAAAAAGTTAAGTAAGAAGTTAACTTTTACCAGAAGTTTGGGTTCCAAAATAATCTAAAAATGAGAATACCTAGTGCTATTAACAGTGGACATTAGAGATCACTTAGTCAAAATTGTTAATTCCGCATTCTCAGTAAGGCAATGATATAAAATTTGCAACTTCCAGATTTCCATGTGTACGGTGTTTTCTTAAAAACCCTATGTTCTTTATTCACAAATTCTAATATTTCTATTATACTGTAAAGAACTACTGACCACACGCATTAACTGTTAATTAATAAAATTTCTGTACTCAACAATTCGTTTTCTGCAATTCCGCTTCTCCTCGTCGTAACTGAGCAACAACTCACAGTAACCAGTGCTTGTATGATGTGATGTCAGTTCATGTGCTTATCAAATGTCATTTGCGGCGATCCGTCAGATGAGTCACTACTTCATCAGTTCTTGCAGCGATATTCACCACTGATATTCGTGCTGATGACGATTTCGATGATGTGATCACTAATCGTAACATCTTCTAAGAGTCAAGGCAAAAGTAGCAAAAAAAATTTTATAACAAAAAACCTGCAACTGCAAATCCAACAGCGAATGGAATAGTACCTTGAAAGTAATTGTGCAAGGAAGAGTTTTAATTTGTTAAAAGTGTTAGGCTTACTGAACTCGCACTCAAACCAAACACATGGGTAAATGTACGTGCGTTATCTTCTCAAATTTCCGATGTATCAAATTAATTTTTTGAAATGATTGTTTGAGTAGAAGAGAAGTGGCAGATTTTAGTGAAAACCTCAGCGTATGAAGAAGAACTTTTTGTTGAAAAAAGAAAATTTTGCAAGTTCTCCCTAAGAATGGCAAATTCCTTCTTTCTCCAGTCTCTACTCCCATGGAAAAATTAATAAGGTTCATTGTACTTTGAATCACAGAAATCTAATCTTAGTTTTCCTGACTTTAAATTTAGAGGCTTCGAAAAACAAATTTATATGCAAACCTATGAAGCAGCTCAAACTGCAGGTTCTCAATGTCGGAAGTCGCTCTTGGATGCGGCTTCAGGTGAAATAAACAAGGATGGCTAACATGAAGAATAAGGCCTTTCAATAAGTACCACTAAGAAAATCCTAAGCTTAGA